ACATTGTATGTTCGCCCTCCTGTCTAATTACCCATACTAATGCAGCCATTTCGTCCATTCTTTGCACATTTCCCTTCTGTTAATGCATGCTACTTATTTTTTTTCCTTTATTTGTGCTATTCAATTCATAATAGCGAGCCTTTCTAAATGTACATCGAATTTATAAATGCACAATTCCTGAGGTTAATCTATAGCTCTTCCTTGAAAATGCATAATTAATACATTTCTTGGAAAAGGGTTGAATGGATGGGGGAAGGGAGACATTGATACTGGAAGCAGTGAGTTGAGTCCACTCATCAATGAAAGTGCAGTCTTCATCTGACGCACTTCGTTTTTTTTTTTTAATAATGATACCTGTCACTGATAAGAACATCAATACACTAATGCTTTCATTGGATCTACATGTAGTTCTGTTTGGGTACGAATCAGCCTGAAGTCATGGCATCTCAGGAAATGCCGTGTGTGCCCACGGCCGCAATAAGAAGGCCATTGGCCATTTGCCTGTCACATTGCCATGGAAACCTCGTTGAAGCCAGGCGAGGTAATTGTCTCCAAATTGATGAAGTTTGTTGCTGTACACATGGCACTTCATGTATGTGTGTTCTTAAGCCCTCAGGATTTTTCAATTGGTTTATTTAACAGTACCTCAGCAGCCCTTGGGCTGGAGAGGGAACAGTTTTACATCTTTATTAAGTAAAAAAAAAAAATACCAAAGATGATGTTAATTATAATGAAACTAAAACAAAACAAATTCGTTTTTTCAAAAGATGCTGTAGTTTTAAAAGGACATGTGCTATTATCCTACCAGGTGATAGGACATTTAGGGAATGGAGAGTTCGTTATGGAGATTATTTCATCTTTAAGAGGAAGCCAGTCTCTGTAGCTGCAAAATAAAAAAACAGAAGTTTGGTTTCAAAGGCAAGGAAAAAGTCTCATGCACAAGAGATATTTAAAAAATACACCAGAAATCCTAGGAAGCATTACACTGGAAAACAAAATATAGGAAACATAGTTGCAGATTTAAAGATCAAAATTACAAATGAGATTTATGGTCAGAATAGGATTAAAACAGCAGAACAAATTCTTGTTTACGCTATTTTTGTCCGTTGTGATTCCACATCTGTGAAGGGAGAGTTAGGTTGGGGTTTATAGGGAAATAATTTACTCATTTTGGAGGAAGCCAGTCCCTTTAGTTGTGAGATGATTCGCTGTGTCAACCTTGCCCTTCTCAATAACAGTGACACAATTCTTTTTCTTTGTTTTGCACATTCCAGTGGGGCGGGGCAATGATTTGTATGAGAAGGTGTTTGCCCTCCCTTTGGTTATGCTGCTGCTCCACTGTGGTGACTCTCCTGTCTGCCTTGCTCTCCTCAGGACCAGTAATGTTCAACATGCATGTAAACCAAACTAAAATTTCCCTGGAATTGAAATTTAGCTTCATCATTGAACCCAGTGGAGGGTAGATAATATAAAATATCAGAAATTTAGAGAATTCTTCATGGAACTGGTCAGGTCCCAGTGTCCTAAACAGCTTTTTGTTTTGTTGTAGAAAATCTCGAGTAAAAACAGAAAACTTGACACATGAAGCAGGATGTTATGTGTAAGCAGACATTTTAGAAGGTGTTTGCACCGCATTTCATACCCCAGGAGGACTCGGAGGCGTTTTTTTCTCTCATGAATTGAAAGAACCTCCAGAATTAGTTTATAATAGATGAACCTTTGCCTTCACTTTGTCACATTTGATTCATTGTTTGGAAAGACCCAAATCTGCGTTGGGAGCCCTTCGACCTTTGGTTAACCACTTCACTTCGGCCCTAAAGAGAGAGAAAAAAAAGGAATGACTGAAAAACAACAGAAACTGACTCGGTCCTCTCCAGCAAACCAAGACTTCTTTTAGAGAAGGCTACAAAACAGCTTTGCTCACAGTTCATTGAGGTGATACTTGTTACCTCTTAACCTACATCTCTAAGGCCTGGTAATGGCATCCCTTTTCAGGGTCACTTGGATGGAGGTGCATCATATTTTCTTAGGACATTATCCTAGCTTTGCTGAAAGCTGAGATTACGGAGAAGGCAGTGGTCTGGAATCTATGAGGTTTTTTTTTCTTTTGAGAAAAAAATTCAAGTGCTCATGATTCATTCCATGTGGCATTCAAGTGATTCGCCCCTTTCTGTTACCAGACTAGACTTGGACAGGATGGGAATAGAATGCCTCTGTGTTGCCAAGCAAAGTCTCTATATAGGCTCTGCATGTTAGCCACATTACTGGTACCTCGTCTTCTCAAAAGTGCTCTGTGGGGATACTTTAACAGCCCACAAAGCAGATAGTCGGCGCATTAAATTCAACTGTAACCTACAATACACTGTACTTGATCAAGACGGATGTGGTGGATGGCCATGGATCTGCACTGAACCCTCGCATTTACTAAGCGTTCATTAATGGCGTCGCTAATGGAATGCACACACACGGCTGCGAATTGCAAATGGATGCACGTCGCGCAGATTCGTAGTGTCTTTATGTTTTCCCTCAGCTGCTTACCCATGCACACTTGCAAACTTGCACCAACAAGGCCTCCAGCGATCAAGAGGCCTTCCCACAACTTGCAGTTGAAATATTACAGGACCTGTAGATGAGTAAATGCTGCATCCTTTGAATTCCAACTACGTCACCCATGCTCTGGCAAAGTGCAAGTTCTCAAAGGTCTATTGCAGTACGTAGGCAGATGCGGGGGGGGGAGGCCATGGGGTCCAGATCCCCTCCCCCAGCAATTTTTTTTTAAATAATGACAGAAAGGTGATTTACCTGTTCTTTTTCATTTCCCTTTCTTTCAAAATCACATTAAAAGCCCCCAAATTGAGCCTTACTCCCTAGAAAGGCCATAAAAGGTTACTTAAGGAACATTTCCCCCCTGCAAAAAAATTTGACTCCACCCCCCCCAAATCTGGATCTGGATCTGCCCCAGGTTCATTTACATACATGTGTATCATTGATGGCACTACTATGTGTACATCACAGTCCTCTGAAAAAATAGCCAAAGGCCAGTAAGAAACTTAGCTTAGATACGAGTACGTATACATCTGAACTGATTTTGTATTTAGTTTTGAAAGGTTCATAACCCTAAAATAGTGGAACTTCCACTCTTCAGATTTTCACGGGAGTTTTATAGCTATCACTACCCGTAAGAAGCTTACTGCAGACAGAAGTTTGATTTAACGTGGATCACTTTAAAGTGAAAAAGAAGCTGAAGGAGAGGAATTGTCCAACATCACAAATAGCGACTTCGGCCTGGTTTTGGGATGGTGGGTCACATTTTGTTTTTCATTTACAAGAAGTTCTGTTCTCCACCTTGTTCACTTGAACAAAAACACAGCAAGTTGATCTATTAACGGTCCATCCACCACGGAAGACTATACCTGTACAAGCACTTAACCGAGATTCCCACTGGCTGGCCCAGTAAATCTCATTATTTCACCAGGCGGTGAGCCTGTCGCTTGCCAAAGTGTTGGATCTGTCATCAACTTGCTCTTTGTTTGAAACCTTAGTGCGTTGGACTCTTTAATAATCCTACCCAGATGTACTTTTTTTTGATTACTGTCAAAACTTGTTTTGTACCTGGACAAGAAAGATTTGGAGCCTGGATGAAACTCTTCCAGGGTAACGGACGAGATTCGTATTTCACTTGTGAGATGACAGATATATTGCTCTTTCCCCTGTCAGCAGATGTCTTGATACTTGATAGCCTGGCTACCATTCTTGACTCACAGCAGTCTTCTTCTTTTCCTTCGTCATCTTCTTCGTCTTTGTCTTCTTCGTTGTCGTCGTCGTCAGGGATACTGCAAACAAACTCCTCTGTGGGATAGTTTGTTGCATCCTTTAATTCATGTCCATAAACAGGGTCAACAAGTGCATTGTGCCGCACACTTGTGTTTGTGTGCCGGAACTATATACGTGTAGCTTTGCTGCTGTCTCTCAGAAATCAGGTTTTGCCATTTATTTACAAGAGCTGGTTTTTTTGGTAAAAGTGTGTTACACGTGTACTCTGTTTATTCTGTGCTCTCTAACACCCTCCAGATAAATTCAAAGGTTTACTTAGGTGGCACTCAAAGCCACAACCACCTGCTTTCCGAGTGCTAGTGCGTGTACTCAGCAAGAGAGCAGGCTGCGCGGAATGGGCCGGTACTTACTTGTTCATGTAATGCTGCCTTTGTTTCTCAAGGCTCGGCAAGTTTCACATCTGAGCTCATTGCCGAGGGATGGGAATAAAAGAAACACGAGGTTGTCTTCTGATGTTTGTTCAACGCAGTGCCAGATGACCACTTGAGGGCAATGCATTGTGAAACTGCAAAAAAAAATGTGCAATCACTTCCTTAACTCCAAACTGACAGTTTTTGGGTAGACGGGAAAGTGTTCACGTCAGTTGTACACCCAGGATTTGTCGTGGTGGGTGGGGCTCGAACTGGAGTTTATCCCCCCAAAATATTACGATGCTTAAATCACCCCTCCCCGTTGCACCACAGGGTCTTGGATTTATGGCTATATCAGAGCTTCAAGTTTGAGATATCTAAGCGTATCTTCGTTTACAAAAACTTAATGTTAACGAGTCTGTACATTTAAAATCGCACCATTTCATCAGTGCACCTCGGGAGATTTGAACAATTTGGGAAGCAACATTGCCTTGGGATTGAAGTGTTAAACAGACGTCTTACTTAAGACTTTGTTGTGATAAATGATGCCTTTTTCAAATGGATTGGTTTGTCATGTCGTCCATACACACGACACTTCAGGCTTTTTAGGGGAGACTTCACAAGCCCGGGCGGGAAAGTGAGTGATAAATGTTGTGCATTCAGAGAGTGGCAGTTGACCCTGAAAAGCGTCGTAGTTTCCCCAACCCATGCTTGTGTTTGCCCCTACTTTGTGAGTGTTGAATTTTCCTCCTCAATTTTTTGTTTGGTTTGGTTTCTCCACCGGTTTTTCTTGCACCCCCAACCCCATGGCTGCAGGAGAGACTACTGTTGTCGGTGTTGCCACGGCACGTCGCCATGGAGATGAAGGCTGACATAGCCAGCAAGAGGGAGGACATTCAGTTCCACAAGATCTACATCCAGCGCCATAGTAACGTCAGGTACACGGGGGTTGCCGGGTGGGAAGTTATAATTGATTGGCCCGTGAATCATGGTTCAAATTATCTTGGAAATGAAATTTTAAAGAGATGCAAATATGCACACAAAGTACAGATGCCTTCGGGGGAGGGGGGAATTATCCTAAAAGAGAACACCGATTGTAGTTTTGGACAGGTGACCAGTCTTAACTATGACAGTTATGAAGAAAGAAAATATTACACTGCTACACAAAGTCAGGAATGAGCAGTGTAAGAATACTAAACGTGTCAAGCACTCCAGAATCCATCGGTTGGCGTTACTCAGTTTTCAAGGTTTTGAGACTAAATTTTTCGGTTGTGATAAAAACACCCACTTCATTCTCCTGTCTATCAGTTGTCACAGATATACATTGCATGCTCTGACCCGCCCGTCATAGAACCTTCATGTTCTGTTGTAGTGCGCTCACATTGTCACTCATTGACAAGGCGTAGTTTATCAGCAATTGCATTTATGACTATAAAGGGTTATGTATGGCTAGAGACACAAATATGGGGGCCCAAGCTTCAAAAGCCAGGTGAAATTGATAAGCAATTTCACAGGAGAAACCTGTACTGATCAGAAAGCTGGCTTTCTTAGACCAAAGATGCCTGTTTCGCCCCCCCAAACCCAAAGCATTTCAGTACACCATTAAAATGAATCAAGGTGTGTTGTGTAATAAAGTTCGAATCTGAAAAAACTATGCCAGATCTTGATATTTACAAATCTGGATGGGTGTTATAAACACTTATTTGAAGCTTTCAAATGATTTCCCACATCAAGGGGGGGAGAGAGATATGTACATTGGCACAGCTTCATGTTTCTGTTTTTTTTCTCAGAGAGATGTCATTCAGAGTGATTTCCTAAAATATTGCCCTTCAAACTCTTCTTGTCTGAATTTTTTTTTGCAAAGTTGCAGAACTTAAGCTCACTCAGACAGAATATGGTGGCAAGCTTTCCTCCCAAGCTCTCTCACATGGGTAATTCTAGAAATTAGGGGTCCATTTTTTTCGCATCCCTGTCACATCGGACATGATTTTGTAAGTTCAGAACACATTTTCTAATTTCCAAGAGTGACGAGTTAATGCTATTTACCTGCCAAACAAATAGTAACAGCTTAAAATCAATTTTGGTCATATTTCCAGGTCAAATAATAAAGGTCAGATATAACTTGGACACAAAAATGTCACGGTTTTTGACTGCTGCTTTCTGGAATTACCCATATGCCATTTGATGCATTGAGTTTGATAAGCTTCTGAACATTACACACTGTGGTAATACTCAACTGGACTGTACTAATGTAATGCACATTCGCATCTGGGGTAATGTGAATTTTACTAAAGCATGTGTTTCCTGTATAAGGGCCAGCTGCGTATACATGTACATTATCTAACAGAGGAAAAGCCTCATTTCTTTTTATTTTGTCACTCAGAAGTTGGGGAATTTATCATGAATGGATTTTCGTTGTTTGCAACGGGTCTGTGTGTCTTCATTCTTCTGTTTTTTTGTTTTTGCTGGCAGCATCTTGTTTGCAGACATTGAGGGTTTCACCAAGCTCTCGTCTCAGTGCACAGCTCAGGAGCTGGTCAAGATCCTCAACGAGCTGTTTGCTCGCTTCGACAAACTGGCTCAGGTATGTGTGGCGAGTTTGGCAGGTGCTTCATCAGATGGGCAGTTGCCCAGGGACGTATCTGTTGGTTGTGCTCGATGGATCTGTGCAATACTGGAGCGCACACTGCCGTACTGGTCAATCCTGGACCAGTAGCTCAGCATGATTAAGTGATCGTGCAGGTCCACTGATTATACCCAACATGTCCGCAGTAAGCAGATGTCTACAGCAGATGATCACAGGTGCATCTGACGGTACAGAAATTGGCCAAACGGACAGATGACCGCATTGAGTAGGTCTCATTCCCTGTCATGAGAGACGTCATGATAAACAGGCCGTCTCTAACGCACATGTCACAGGTGGTTGGTCAGAAGGCAATGTATTACCCAAAACAAGGGACCAAAAAGATCAAGTGACATCAAAACAGGTGGATAGGTTTCTCAGGGGGACAGTTCTCAAGCGGGTGCTCTTTTTACCAAGTTCATTCATGACAAGAATACACGGCCCTTGTTGCACTCTAAATGCAGTAGGAGACCAAAATTTGGCCACTAGTCCAAAGAATTTATTTGATATATGGGATAGCAAATGCTGTCATACAATTTAAATGACGCATGAGATTCGAAAGCCAATTATACTGCATTTTCACAGAAATTTTTCATATGTGTCTCAGTAATTAAAAAGGTTTGTACCGTGGTTGTAGGGTGAGACCTAACAGAGTGACAGTTTTCCAGCATCTTGCTAAACTAACAATTTCGCATACATGTACACACTGTACATGGATGTGTAATCTGTGGGTAGTCAAGCAGTGTAACGTATCAGATTAGAACAAGGCGATAAGGTGCACCGACTGAACCCAGAATCATGGTTCTTAAATTCTGTGCACTCCCCAGGCAGCCTGCAAATTGGAGTTGTTTGAGTATTGCCGTCATTGGAGATTAAGGAGAGGCAGTTAACGTTGTGCATGTCAATAATTAACAGTGGAGTGAGTGCTTTGTTGCCATGGAAGCAGACGATTCTCAGATTGCCCCTCTGAAGAGCAGAATGCTAGAGGACGATTGATATTAACAAAATTATGTACACCCTTACGAAAAGTGTCACCAATTCTAAAAATAAGGCAAGCAGTGACAGACCACATATAAAGGGAGGAGTAACTGGAGGGCATGTAATCTTCCTTTGAAAGTAGAAAAATATGAGACGATTCACTAAGGTCACAGCAAATTGTCATTAGAGGGTTTGCATGAATGCCACTTTGCACATCAAAGCTTTCATTTTACCGAGTGTGCACAAAGGAGGTTTCCCTGTGGAACAGGAGAACTGCCCTGCAAGATGGCTACCATGTAAAGCCTCAGTTTTTCAAAGCTCAACACTTTGGGAGCGACTTGACCTGAAGGGATGCATGCATTCATACACAAATCGTCTGTAAACATTGCAGAAATTTTGGCTGGCAGGTATACTATTCAATTTTGATTTCTTTTTATTGTTATTTAATTTTGTGACAAAATTATCATGCCAAAAATATTTTCTGCCAAAAAGTTGTATTTGAAATGTAAAATCTTTTGTAGAGCTCATTAGTGTCAGTGCAGTTGTGTTGAACAAGTTTCAGTTTTGATTTGGAAAGTACTTCGTTTTGTAAGCAAGTCTTGATTTGATTTCTTCTGCTTGACCTTTATTTTGCCCTAAAATGTGTTCATTTGCACTGCGACCAACCACAGGGTCACTAAAGGAAAGAAAAGTGGTATCCTAGTAACCACATGTACACTTGGCTCAGAGGAAAGCACTATGCACACAACACGGCTACTTTGACGTCAGATTTATCGGGGATCTCAATCGTTTGTTTCCCGTCCACATGCAGGAAAAAAAACCTGAATTCGTTTGTCCCTGTTATCATTGTCTCACGACCTTTCCCAGCGGGGGCGAAAGCCACATCAGGTCTTGATGGCTATCGGGACAATTAATCAAATCAAAGGGTTTTTTTTTCCATTCCCCCCGTTGGCCATTTCAAGCGGCTTGTCTGTGGAGTTCCAATCCCTGCTTTATTGCATGGCGGAATTCATCAGAGTGATCATCAGCACTCTCCACACATGCTGAATGACTATTTCAGCATAGTCTCTCATGCTGTCTTAATTTCCAACTCCATAACCGAGCACTGAAGTAAACACCTGTATGTTGATTGCCATCCACCATGGATTTGCTTAGCATCTTTATGTTTGACAGAGTATATTGATATCACTAGCAAGGAGGGTACATGGAGTGGTGAAGCCGTGATTTGTGGCTAGAACCACAGTTTTTTCTCCGTTTATGCAATGCTTTTAACCTTAACCCCCCTCCCCCAGTTTTCTTACCTTGTTTCTTGAAATTTCCCTTTTTTTTTCCAACTTTTTTGTCGTACAACTGAATACCGAAAATGAAATTTCACTGAATGTTTTTCATAATAGTATCACGAACTGTCAGATAAATGAAAGGCTTTGGTGCATAGGTGTAAGCGTTCATTGTAGATCCCCTAGTACAGAGTATGCTAGATGAGGCTGATGATGCTGTGGAAGCATCCTAAGCATTAACTACTCGTAGAGCAACTCCTTGAAGCCCATATAGTCTGACCTTTTTCCTGAGTTTGACCTGCAAACATTGCCCAAGCTCTACTTTCGTCCTTTTTAATTACAGTTTTGGTTTTACTTTTCTCCTGCTTTTTCACTTGGGCCTACATCCATTTACTGAAAAAGAAATTGATGATGAAATCTGATTATATCAGTCCAGATTATGTTCCTGTGTTCAGATTTTTTTTTAAGCATTGAGCCAAAAGGGAAACGGGGGATTGTAACTACACTGAAAATTGAGAAGCCAGTCAGAAGCGCCGCCGTGTTTTCATTTAATCACAGGAAGGGGAACGCAAACACATTGGCTGCTTGTGTGTGTCTTTTTTTACATGAGCGGGTACCTTCCGAAGGTGTTTCCTTCCTTTTATCGCCGGCGATACGGGGCTGTTTGAGCAAGACCCAAGTGCTTTCCCTGTTGAGAGAGTGATTTGTTTCACCGGGGCGACCACCCCTCCTGTTATGTGTTGACTTCTAATATTTGGAGTGAGGATATCAAATTTTTGTTGGTCTCCTCGGAAAACACCCTTGTTCCTGCGTAGACTGCGTGCACAAACAAAATTGTTGTTGCATGTGAAAAAAATTGTTTCTGAACTGCCAAGAGAGCATGTTGTTCTTAGGATGGGTCATGTTGTTGATAAACTGTCGGAAGTTGTAGCTAGGGCTGTTTACTTTTGGGTTGTAAGTAAAAAATGTAAGAGAAAGTCAGCACAGAGAGTTTCAGTGAAACCTCAGTATTCATGCATATCCTTGTGCTGCAATGTTAAAGCACTGTTGTGCATTGACCTCAAGCAAAATTCAGAGCAAACTTGTTCATAATTGTGCAATTCACATTAGTGCACTAAAATGCCCTAAAGAATGACAAAACGAAAACTTTTACAGCGATAATACATATGTATAGAACACTAGGGTGCATTTGCAAGCACCCCTTCTATTAAGAATTACATCACACTCTGTGTATGCGCAGTTTACTCACTTGCCGTGAGTACAGGCACTTATTCAGTCGTCAGACTGCCAGGGGCAAGAATGTACCGTGATACATACAGATGCATGTCCCGCACAGTGCATGTGTTTTTGTTGTAATGGACTCTGCCTTGACATCAAGAATCGATATTTAAGATTAAATTTAGTGGCACGGCCTGGTGTTCTTGACGAGGGGGTTAAAAAGTACGCTGCCACCTCTAGGTACGTGTGTGTGTGCAGTTGCAGAAACAAAAAAGACCTAGAAGAGCCGACATAAATGGGCGTGGTTTGTATTTTGATACTTGCATCAGGGTATTTTGCTTTCGAAAGAAGAAAAGCAGTGGGAAGTGAAGACCAAGAAATCATCTCTTTCAAGCAGTCCCCAAATTGAAATTCTTTAAACAAAATCAATGATGAGTGCTGTTGTACATGTACATGCATTGAAAAAAATCCAACGTTCTGAATTTTGGTTTGTTGTCTGTTTTGGATTGAACCTGGTTTTCTTGACGCATTCCACAAAAGCCATTCATTATCCCATTCTTTATTCAGTACAAAAGTGGCTATAAATATACAGGGTAATTAGAACCATCCGCTAGATTGCTTTCAATTTTCCACATGCCGCTTATTCAACTATCCTACGTCAGCACGGCTAGAAGCTGAGTGGATCTCCCTTCCTCCCTCCAAACCCCCCCCCCGACCAGCTTTCTACTGATCCCTGTCTCTGATGACTGTTTCCACCGGCTTCGGCGAATATGCAAAAGGCTACTGAAGCTGGGCACTTGGCCTTAATTAACACTGCCAGAGGTGTGACAACATGACAGCCACAGGAGTAAATTGGGTCGCCAAGAGTTGGTGGATGGGAAGTCCATTTCTCTTCCTTCTTCATCGATTGCTTTTTCCGTGCAGTTCTTTGAAGCCCGGCATTATCTGCGTTGTTATGCTGACATACATGTACTCTTTGCCGTTGCCGTCCTTGATTAGTTTTAAACATTGAAATGGGCAAAATGCCAAGTGAAGAGACGAAAGAAAATGCTCCCAAAATGGCACTTTCAAAAAGGGAAGAGTTGAAATGAGAAATTCCTCGGAGACAGAGTGAGCTTGTTGCCACTTTAATGCGTTCACAGCGTGGCGAGAAGCACTTGTGAAGATGACGCACCGCTCACACGCTAAGTGTGTGAAAATGCTTTTGATTTTTTTTTTTTTTTTCCTTTTTCCCCTGACCCCACAATCCATCTCCAGAGGCTAGCACTTGCCCATGTCAGCGCCGCCGATTGCAATATTGCATTGTTAATTGGAAATCTAGTGCTTTAAAGGACTATTCCCAGTGGTGGTCAGTAGTTTTTGCATTCATGATCTCAACCCCAGGATTGGAATACATGTTAATACCCCTGTGGATGACGAGGCCATCTCCAAATTGTGCCGCTCAGCTCACATGCAGAGGGGAGGTGGCTGTCACGTACTGCAGTGCATAAATGTGAACAAATTAGGTGGTTGCAGTATGCATGTTAGAGAAGGATCTCATAGAAACGCTTCTTAGATAACTCAAAGAATACCGACTCTTCTTTTATTTTACCTGTTTACAGAGATGACATTTAATTGTGTATGTAGCTTGCCATCAAAGATGTGGCTCTGTTTGCTTTAAAAACTCAGTTTACTTGCAAGATTCAGACAAGTGAATTAGATGTTTATTGATTTCAGTAGTACATGCAGTTGCTCTGCACTGGTAATTATTTCTGTCACAAAACTGAACTTATAAGAGCGGGATTTCAACCAAAGTGCTGAGAAAATTTCGGCAAGAGAGCTGTCCAGCAGTACTGGGCCTGATTTTGCGGCTGCTCTGATTTTCAGTAACTGTGTTCCTTTAGGGGTCATTAGGGCGACCGTAGTTAATTCCACGCTTCTCATATTTTTTTTAACCTTGAGGGAGGGTCAGTCAGTCAAGAGGAAAAGGATGATTAAAAAAAAACTTGCTAGTCCCCAGAAATGCTTCAGATTATCATTTTTGTCATTTACATTTCTTTGTTAGTGTAAGAAATTTGTGACAGCGGTACCCACTGCTACATCTGACTCGAACCAGCCAGCTGACACCGGCAAGCTGGGTGGTCAAGTGATTAAGACGTTTGCACTAGTAAGGAGGAGGTTTTGGGTTCAAGTCCCACCCGAGTGTGCTTGTGGTTTTATTTTTTTCACAAGCGTTTGCGGGCAACACTGAGTAACTTTGTTATAATATACATCAGGCAGGGCAAAAAACAAAAAAATCGATTAACACCCCCCACGCAAATCCATCCTTGAAATAAATTTGTGACAAGGTCGGCGGCATTAAAAAAAATTTTTTCCATGGTCAGAGCCAAAAATAAGGGTTGGTCAGCAGCAGTGAGAACTGTAGAATGAAAGATGAATCATCAAACTGACACATCCTGTGGCCAAGGATCATGTTCTGGTCATTATACTGTACCTGTCAGCATAGAACTGCATTGGTGCACAAAATGTCAAATGGAAATATAAAGCAACTACTAATAGAGGAATAACTGCAAAGTTAATCCTGAACATTGCAATACCGCCCACTGCTAAAGTAGTCATTCAGTTGATGAACGGTGTGGGGGCAGCAGAACCTCAGCTAGTGTCTGTTTCAGTTGGTCAGAATGGATTGCAGGGAAATTGCTGTTTCTAATACTTGTACATGTACTTGTGTGTCTCGCCGTTCAAAAAGAATGTTCTTGATCAGTCATGAGGATTGAAATTGAACTTTGTTCCAGTCACGCTCATTTACATCTTGTACTTTCTGAGAACGTGTTCCCTTACAAGATCTGAGCGTACAGTGGAGTCACTTCAACAGGGTTGTCAGTTGTGCCATCATTTGATTTTTTTGGAGGGGGGGGACACTTTTTTGTACATTTTCATTTTTGTCGCGGGCCAAGCCAAATATTTGAATTTATGTAAATCTTGTTTTTGAGATCCAGCAAGTGAAAATTTTATAGCTGGTGTGGTTTCCACTTTGGAACAAAACTAAGCAACATTCTCAACATAACTCATGTAACTCGGGACATGTCATCTGTTACAATGTAAAAATATCTATTTACATGCATGAAGATTCTTGGCAAAATGCTTGAAACAGGCATAAGTTTCTTGACTCTTTGGAGAGATGGTCAGTCTGTTCATTATTGTGTATGTTCCTTTTTTTTCCGTTTTAGGAGAACCATTGCTTGCGCATCAAGATTCTGGGCGACTGCTACTACTGCGTCTCGGGCCTGCCTGATCCTCGCCCTGACCACGCCCACTGCTGTGTAGAGATGGGACTGGACATGATAGAAGCCATATCGTAAGTCATCAACGCTGCTTCTTATGATCAACTGATTTGAGATGGTATCGATAAATTTATCGGTTAGAACCTGTCCTATCTGCTGCCATGGCCCTGAGTTTGCTCTAGCTGTTCAATCCCCTTATTCATGCTCTCTCTGTCGACCATATTTCTCTCCGTTGTTGTTGGTTGGCCAGCTGCCCACCTGCCTTCAGGTCGCCAACCCATCACCACCATACAGTTGTCGCTTCTTGCCATTCTGAGGACGTGTCCAATCCAGGTCTTCCTACTACATCTAATGAATATCTCAGTGGCCTTTGTTAATGGTCAGAATAGCTGTCCAAAAAATTGTATGTAGTCTTTCGTATGGGGTGTTTGCTTGGTGGATGTGAGGCCCCTTGCTCTTTTCCTGTACATTTGTTCCTTTTATTCCTTTGCCTCGTCTTATTTACTCATTTAAGATACAAAGTGGAGTTTGGCACCCATTACTTCTCCATTTCGTCTCATGGCTATGGAGAGCCAAAGTGATTACGTCATCTGTTGTCCGTTGCCAAGGTAATGGTTCAACGCATAAGTCTCTCAACCGTATCCGTGTTCTTTTGCAGCTGAGTAGTCTGGGTACATTAGCCCCATGTTAACTGACGTCACCTTTTGGTATCCCACACAGCAGAAAACCATTCATTACATGTATTTTCAGTGAGTTTTATGGCTTTAAATTTCCTGTTGTTTAGTAGTTGCCATTGTTGCCTACTCTGTTCTTTCCTTCACCGGTGAATTTCTTCTCGGAAATCAGACTCCCTCACCATCAAAGAAATATAAGCACTGTAAAAAGGGCGATTCTGTTTTCGTGTGGGTATTTTTACTGTACGTGTGTACATATTGAAGTACATTCAGTTTCCGCAGACGATGACGTGAGCTCATAAACAGTGCCTGCATTCCTAGACCCCAGACTTCCAAGAGGGGTCATCCACCCCATTCCTACTCAAAACCTCTCAGCTGATTAGTCAGTAGCCCCTGGGGGGATGGTGTAGGGAGGTGCCTCAGTGTGTGTCTATTTGACTGAACAAATAATCAATTTGGCGGACCCGGCAGTGTAAATTTTGTGGCCCAAAAGTGCGTCTTCCTTTTCACTCGGCCGGCGCCAAGCTTTGCCGTCGCCATTTCCAAATGACCAAATGGGGACTGCTAGAGGAGAATGTTTGATTTGTAGTGCATTTGAGGTTCCCTGTCCCCCCCCCCACCGTAGGCTGCCCTTGTGTACCCTAGCATTGTGGGGGGGGGCCATGGAAAGTGGACTCTGTAGACTAAAAGAGAGAAAGGGAACTTAAGAGCAACATCCACAATGATGGATGGTGCTTTTTTTGGTGTAACAGTCTAAATGTTACATGTAGGAGAAACAGTTGTGTTGTGAATAACATGCCTAGTATTTTCTGTTAAACCTGTTTACCTTTTGAGTGTTTTTTTTTTCTTCTGCTTTTCCCCTTCGTGTAATATTTGGGCAGTTCTCTCTTCTTTGTACTTGAGACTGTGAGATTTCAGTTAGTTTTTTAGGACAAAATGTTATCGATGAATCAAGGGACTGACACCAGTCGTCGAGTTAAAAGTGACGAAGTATTGTACTCAGGTTAAAGTGTGTTTTTTCTCCTGCTTCTGCAAGTGCTTTTAATGGTTGGAAATCAAACATGCTCATGAAGAGTTTGGGTTGAAATGCCCAGGTGAAGTGCTGTAGATGTTGATTTTGGATAACCTCCTAAAATCACGACGGGCTTGTTGCGCTGTGGGAGGAGGTTTGTTTGAATCGGAACCTGCCTGTGAGGGAGAGCATCAGTAGGGGCACAGGTGAGATGCTGCACTCAGTAAATGTTCTAACTTTGTTGGGGGTTTCCTGCAATCTGTGAACTAAACCGTCTGACAGAGGAGGCAGTTTGATGTGTTCGCAATCACAGGCTTACGCTTGGCCAGGCCAGTCCTTGCACATGTGCCATGTACATCGTAGTTGACCGACTCTTTTGAATGCACAGTTTTTTTCTCCAATGCACTTCTGTTTATTCTGCAAGGGTTATATACACTGATTTGGTAATAGAGGGATGCAACTGTTGGGTTGGAAATGGTAATCAAGCTCCCTCACTCTCACTTGACACTGGAAATGCGCACTTGCACCAAAGAATGTTCTAATAACACAACAGGTGAATTGTTATCACGGCAGAAAGTCTCAGTCAAAATGCCTGACTCTGGTATTCCACAGTATCGATACAGAGGTATCATAAATGTACATGTTCCATTTGTGTCCGTGCACATTGGATGCATTATCTCACTTGACTTGGTTTCATACGGTCACATAATCGCGTCAGCTTGCCTTGTGACACGATTAGTCCAGACGGACGGCGATAATCGGATTGTGTAAGTCAGGACTTTGACATAAACTCTGCCTCAGGCAACTAGACTGAGATTACGATAGCATGACAGAGTGACTCGTTATGCATAGCAATCGCTCCAGCCCAAGACTAAACGGTGCACACAAAATACCTGGCGAATATAGGACACGGCACCCCAAGCGTCGGTGGTTCGTGACAGGAATAGACGGCATTTTGTTGTTACAAGACTGCATGATAAGATTGAATATTGCGCAGTGCAAACTAGCAGTACATGCATGCTGTAACTTTGAAGTGCAGGAGGTGTCAACAAACTTCATTCTAAAACATACTTTGTGGAAGTGTTTACTCTCTCAAACCATTTCAGCATAATGGGACATGGTGTTTTCCCTCACCTTAGGCACTCGTTTGTACATGCAGGATTCCCTTTATATCAGTTATAAGAGCAAACAATGCAGAGTAAATAAATAAATAATTAAAACTAGCAGCATATGCAGTGTAAAGTGCTTACGTGCTTCAGGATGAGGAGTGTGCATTTATTTCAAGAAAGTGCATTCTACAGCCTTCACTGCAGCATATTTGTCATAACAAAATGATTTATAAATACCTCGTCCAGTTTACTCACCCCTGTACCCCTGTTGGTCGGGAGCCCTTCCAATCCTGTGGGTGGTTTTTCAACAGATAATAAAAGCACCAACTGGTCCTAAACACTTGCCTGGTTTGTACACGAAATGTTGACTCCTGTTTTTGGACTGTTAAACTTGTACATGATGAGGCACACGCATTACAACCAATGAGTTGGCATTTTATTAAGTCAAAATCTCACGCTACACCATCTGAGCTGCGTCTTGCATCATCCCCAGGCCCCATACCATCCCATTGCACGTTCATTCCTACATGGGTGTCGCACCCGGTTTTAGCGAAGCGCGGCAAAAGGTGCGAAACCCGCA